GTCTTCAACATACAGCCCCGACCCTGCCCCCACCACCCAGGAAGCAATCCCCAAAAGGTAACTCCTGCAAAATAGGCCCAGATGATTGAAAACCCAACACCTCTTAATGGCCTAGGTACTGGGCTCCCAGTTTTCCCTAGCAGAGTCATCAGAATGGGAGGAAGTAAGATGTAGACAAAGACACAGGTAGGAGAGGCATAGACACTGCCTGGCTCAGCCGGACCAAGGGGAGGAGCTGGGAGCAGACAACCCCTCTCTGCCCCAGTCCTGGGCTTCCCCAGCACTCTTTTTTGTATCTTATAGACAAGAGAAAAGGGGGATAGAGCAAGAAATTCAATTAGCACTTATTGAGCAGTGACTATATGCCAGGCACAGGGCACACAGACATGTCTAAGGTGCAATGCTCACCCTCATTTCCCCATTGTCTCCCATGATTTGGGGGTGCCCTTGAGTTTTCATCCTTCCCTCTCATCTGCCCATCTATTCTGGATACCATAACTTATTATTAAGATCAATGAATAGGAGTCATCACTTGCAGTCATCTGGAATCCTCCAGGTGGCCTGACAAGTATGGAGAAACAGCATCTTCCAAGTTGTTCCCAATACAAATGAGAACCCAAGTTCTAGAAGATAAGAGTTTGTGAAAGGAAGAGCAAATTCCACTGTCTTTTAGCAAAAATGAGAACATATCAACTTTGGTATTTTTCAGCCCCAGCATTTCCTTCCAAATCCAACAATGCTCTTTTTGCTGAATTAATAAATAGATGAGTAAATGAGTAAACAAACAAAGCAATTAATGAAGAAATCAGCTGTAACTTCTGATCTGGTCTCTACACATCAAACACACTATGTTGACAGTTAAGTAACCTGCCTACTTTGCTGCAAGGCAGGAGTTTTATTCCAAGACCACAAAGACAAGTCTGAGGATGGACACATGGGAATTCATCCTTCTCCATCACACGTGAGGTCCCAGCTTTGGATTGGGAACATTTCCCTGGATATGTCCCTCCCTGGTGCCATCCCAACAGCTTCAAGGAAGCCAAAAAAACCATGAAATCACAGAACTTTAGAATCACAGAGTTCTTGGGGTTGTGAGGTGGGAAAAAGAGTGTCAAAGAAGGAACTTGGAGCCAGAAGGTGTGGACTCAGTCCTAGATCTAGTGCCAACTAGCAAGCCACGTGCCCTGTCTGACCCTCAATTTCTCTATCTGTGAAATGAAGATAGCAAGCTCCTTCCTTAGGGATTATGAGAATTAGATGAAATAATGTCCTTTCTAAACCACGACTTCCTTCAACTTACAAGACTAAGAATGAATACCGAAGGGTAGGCGGTCAGAGGGGGCAGGCAGAATGTGGTGGCCCAGGTCCCCTACCTACCTGTCTCTTAGAAAAGGTCAATGAGAGCAGGGCTTCCACTGAGCCAGCAGTCTGACACATCAGCACCCATCTCCCCTTCCTCCCCTCCTGTCAGCACCGAGAGCTGAGTTGTGCAGCCTCAGCCCTGAGGCGCTGCATCGTGCTCCTGCACCTGTCATTCCTCTTGTGCACAGAAGGAAAATGGGAGGTGACACCTGGAGATGAGGTGGGAAGGAAGAGCTGTCAGCAGGGACTGCTGTGGGTGCAGGTGTCAGGAAGGCAACAGGGGAATCATGGGTGGCCTGGAGAGGGGGCTGCACAGGGCAGGGGTTGCAACACCAGGCCCAGGTCAAAGGGCACGGTTCCAACTCCTAGGTCTGCCATCAAGAAGCAGGTGATCTGGGCAAATGACTTACCTTCTCTGAGTCCTTGATGACAAACTCATCCCTAAAGTCTGCTCTGCCTGCCTCACTGGGTTGGTATTACAACATATTTCACTGAATCTAAGACCCCAACAATTGGAAGATGTTCCATAATTATATGTACCACTTAAAAAAAAAAAACACTGTCAATTAAACTATATTATGCCACTATTGTAAGACACGGACTGATTCAGAGATGTTCCAGATGAAAAATGTGCTTGTGAGAAGCGATGGCATGTGGTAGATGAAAGCACTGTGCAAATGAAAGGCTAAATGTGACCACCCACTACTGTGGGAAGGAACCACAACTCGCAGCTCCTCAGTAGGCATGTCCAGAGTGCTGAGACCTCTCCCTGGCATGCATTCTCATGTGAATTAAGGAGAGAGAAAGAGGGCTAGGCAGTGGCCAGCCTTTAATCCCAGCACTTTGGAAGGCTGAAAGGGGAGTTTTTACTTGAGGCTAGGAGTTCAAGCTCAGCCTGGGCAACACAGCGAGACCCCACCTCCAAAAATAAAAATAAAAAATAAAACAATTAGCTAGGTGTGGTGGTGCATGCCTACAGTCCCAACTACTGAAGAAGCTGAGGTGGGAGGATCACTTGAGCCCAGGAGTTCAAGGCTGCAGTGAGCTATGATTGTGCCACTACACTCCAGCCTGGGTGACAGAGCAAGATCCCATCTCTTAAAAATAATAATACTAAATAATAAATAATTTCTTTAAAAGGAGAGAGAAAGACAACAATCTGTGCAGGGAAGAAGGCTAAGCAGTGGGTCTGGAGAAGGAGCTGAAGTAGAGTCCTACGGGTTCAGATGGGAAGCATAAGCCAGACAATCCACAGAGCCAGCAAAGTCTGAAGAGCCACTAAGAAAGAGAGACATGAGGACTGGGTGGAGACAGCACACAGGGGATGATGGACTCAGTCAAGTTCAGCATCTGTACCCTACTCGGGCACCCCCTGAAAACACAGGTGAGAATCCAGAGGGCCTTCTGGGCTGTGCTAACAAAAGAACCCGGCTGATTCCTGCAAATCTGTTCCTTCACAAACTAAGGATAAGGCTTATTTGAAGAGAGGATTCTCATCTCCCAAGACTCTCCTCTTGTCCGGTTAAAAATCCTGGTTTCTCCACCTCCCCTCACCCAGCAGAGTTCCAAGGCTCTGCTCCAGGACGGCCGGATTCTCCTTCAGAAGTCCTTCGGCCCATCAAAATGCCTCATAAGATGCGACAGACAAAAGATGTAACTGGAGCATCTTTGATAATTATTTTTCACAGCAAAAAACAGAACACAATCTAAGAGTCAAATAATTACAAAAATGAGAAGCAAGCTGTGTACATCTATCTAACAAACTGCTGATCAGTCATTACAGATTTTTACCAAAATATGCAATAACATGTAATATTCTCATACTATATTTGGAAAAGGCAGCACAATGACAAGCAATGAAAGGAGAGCTTGCTTGGCATTAGGGGGCTTGCAGGAAATACCACAATATAATCAAAAATTTTCTTTACTTGGAAATTGTTTTCTTCTTTGGGATTTTCTGTATTTTCCATATTTTTTTAATAAACAGATAATCATTTAAAATAAAAATAAATGAGCTAGTGCTCGCTTTGGCAGCACATATACTAAAAATAAATAGACTAGACAAGAAATGTCAAATGGACTCTGACACATACAGAACTGACAGAACCAAGAACTGACATAAACTTAACATAGAGTATATATACATTACAAAACTTTTCTTCTAGATCAAATCATAACATTTCTAAATGGCTCAGATTCTCATTTAGGTCCCTTTGAACGCAGTATCTATTATTTATTTTTGGCACATTTAAAACCTCACCCAATGTCCTTCTGTAACACCATGCATAAATTGGATCTTCATATACCACATCATATTTAAAATGCAGTAGCAGAACTTTAAGAAAAACAACCTCCAGAAAATCCTTTGGTAAGGCAACAGATGTTTTACAATGAAGAGTCACCCCTACCTATTTATCTGTTCTCTGTATTGAGGGGCCGGCTGCTCACGAGCTTCCATTCACATATTCCAGCCCATTTCATCTCCAGTGTGTGTGTTTTCTCTTTCACTCAATCACAATTGGCGTAAAGGTTAAAAATATGGGTGTCATGTCTATTCCACAAGACAATGAACATATGCACCTGTTCCCAAACCCTTATCCTTCTCAGACTTATGTGACTTTACCTGCCCTATCCCCTCCTCTGACTATTCCCTGGGGGGAAAATAATTTTCTTTTCTCCTCTCTTCTTTTGGTCAGTTATGATAACAGTACGTAACTCCCCCTCCTTGTCATTCTAGACCTGTCCCTTCTTTTCCTCACAGGTTTGATCTCTGTCTGCCAGGCAGTTGAGAAGGGAATTGCCAGACCATACCCCTTGTTGCCACATCCACACAGGACCACTCCTCCAGCCCCGAACCCCCTTCCTGCCTGCAGACACCAAGAGCCCCCAACACAAAGACCAACAAGAAGCCACAAAAGCCCAGAGAGACACACCCACCACACCATTCCCAAGGGCCACCACACTTGCTGCCAATGGTATTGGGTCAGCCCACTATATCTGTTTCCAAGAGGATGATTTATCAAATATTTAACTAAATGTACTGCCATCATATATGCTGCCGTGACACTGGGTCAGCCCCAATGTAGCATTACTATATTAACTTCCAAGAAATTATTTATCAAGCATTTTAATGAGATTCAATTTTATCCTATTAATAAATCTGCAAATCATAAAAAAATTCCGCGGTCAGAATATGAGTCTCAATTATCAGCTCAGAAAATATGGCTGGAGTTTTCTCCAACCTCCCAGAGAAAATGCACTTGACTGTATCTTTTGGCCCATCCTTTGGGGATGCCTCTTAGACTGGGGTAAGCTGCTTGCATTAGTGAAAAGGTTTATGGGAAACGTCATCCTCCCCAAGGAAGTGAGTGTTCAGCAAGGAAGCCAAGCACAGGATGGAAAACCAGAAGCGGCAACAGCCAGACGCGACTGAGAGTCCCACATCCCCTGTCTAATGCCACACTCTTCTAGGGGTGGGTTACCTATGGTCAAGCCCCATGGGAAATCAAATCTTTGAACTTTTTCTTCCGCCCCTACTCCACAGACGGCTGTCCTTCCACTCTGGACCCCTGCTCCAGACACTTCATGACACTACCACCCCACACGCACAAAGATGGAGAGCGAAGAAGAGGACTCACCCGCTGAGAACCACAATGAAGTCCATGACGTTCCAGCCATTGCGGAGGTATGAACCCTTATGGAAGATGAAGCCCAGGGCCACAATCTTGATCCCAGCTTCAAAGCAAAAGATCCCAATGAAATACGGTTCTGTCTTCTCCTGTAGGATAAGGAGTAAAGATACCAGTAAGGGAATGGCTGTACTTTACCAGACACAGACAAAGACACACCCGGCCAGATCCTGGATGTCTGTGCTGGGCCCGCCCATGTGCCTGTGATGGGGTGAGGGTGCTAAGGACAAAGGAGTGCCTGGGGCTACAAGCTCTCTGTGACTCACAGAGTACTCAGGGCAAGGGAGCCCCAGGGGAGCCAGCTGTAGAAACACATGTAGGAGTCACACCTAGGGGCTGCAGGTACTGCCCAGAAAGAACCCTGTTGGCCCTGGCTTTGTCTGTCCTAAAGGAATTTGCTGGTCTTCACACAAGTTGGAAGTTTGGGGGCTGTCATTCACAGGTAACCAGGCTGAGGCCACTCACCCACCCACTTGGATTTTAAGCAATTTGTTTGCTCTCTTTAGGGGGAATACGTTAGACAAGTGACTCACTTCTTTAAGGAGAATATGGACGTAAGCACTTAGAAATTCTGTTCAGAACCACAAATCCACGTAAGCTTTGAGCATCCTTCATCCTCTCCCCACTGCCCTCCCTCCTTCCGCTCACTAAGAAGTCCCTCAGGAAAGAGGATTGAAGCAAATGGACCCATGTCTGCCCTTTCTTTTTCCCTGGCTGCCATGTGGTGTACACATATGTGTTTGTAATGTCCCCTTTTCCTGTGAATCCGCATGGGGTTTGTCATTAGTCTGTCCCTCAGAAAAAACTCCTCACAGAACTCACAGGGAGGAAGGGAGGGAAGGGTGGGGAAACACAGGAGAAGGAAACCAAGGAGGCTGGAGGAAAGGGGGGGAGGGAGAGGAGACAGGTACATACCAGTCTTCGGGACATGGGAGTCTTGTCGTCCTCAGGAAGATGCTGCTCCAGGGCCAAGACGATGCAGTTGGCAATGATAGTGGCCAGGATCATGTACTCGAATGGCGTGGGGAAAAGAGGAGTTAAGGAACAAATTCATCAAAGAGAGAGGAACGGGGCCAAGAGAGACGTGCACACAAATACACAAACTTTATCAAACCACACTGTGTCTGTGCCATTGGCATGGTTTATATTAGCAAGCAGGCAGGCAGGACAGTGGATGGTCCTTAGTGTATGAGACCATAACCATTTGTGATCTGTCTCTGAACACAAAGCATCTGCTCCAAGAAAAGAGATTAAATAGCCAATAAATAATATAGTCAGGCATATGCCAGACACTCCAGAGAGTGAGTGAATTCAGTGAATAATCCAGGAATTAACTGGGCCGAAATGGAAAGAGAAGAAGGCAAGAAGAAACAGATGAGTGCTATATCAGGCCCGCTGTCCCCCACAGTCTTCAAACCACTGAGAAGGGTCAGGGAGCTCACATTGCCTTTTGCCCTCTCTGGAAATCTCATCTGGAGTCCCCTCCTCTAGGACCTCTGCTCAACTGAGCAAAAGAAAAGTCTTTGGAAAAGAAACAATTCACTCCATGTGAGCCTCCTTCTATCTTAAAATCCACCTCAGAAACACTTCATAGGACCACGAGAAGTCTGTCCAACCTAGCTTTCTCCTAAACATCTGTATCCATAGGAAACAGATGCATCGTGAGTCAGAATCCAGGACAGCAAGGTCCAGGCCTCCTGGAACCAAGCTACAAAGGAGTGAATTCAGGCTTTTTTTCCCATTACATTTTCCTAAAAACAGATGAGGGGCTCCCTGTGCCTTTTTGCAAAACAGGACAATGACTCACATGTCAGCATCCTGACTCCTGCAGAAAGGTTGTGCTACCAGCTCAGGGGGAGGCAAGAGGGACTGCTAGAAGACGAAGGAAGATGGAATCATTGACTCCCAGAGTCACCATACTGCATGCTGAGACTTCATTCCATAATTACTGTCATAACAAACACGAGCAAGCTCTTGCTACTGGCCTTGCTGAGCATCCTGTGCTCTGGAAGATGCTAGAATCAAGGCAAGAGAGAAAAGTAGCAGATCTGGCAAAGCGGAGGGAAGGGAAGGAGCCATGCTCCTCATCTCCCCATGCATCAAAGTTAGCTGAGCAGGATGCAGGGCCTGGAGGACGAAAGAGAGGGTAAATCAAGGATTGCCCCCCGTGCCTCCTCATACCATCATATTTGTGGCAATGGCACAATTGGCAAAATGTTAAATGAGCATTAGGGCGTCTGTGAGGACATTCTACATGCAGGGCACAGGGCATTCTACAGACAGAAGCAGTGTATGCAAGGGGACGTAAGTGCCCACCAGTTGCTCTGGCCCTGGTATCAGCACAAGAGGCTGCAGGACTAAGATGCTGGCTGCATGCGAGTCGTGAGTCCTTTCAATCCTCATTTGGCAATGCCTTCTCCTCCCCCACCCCCAAGCATCCCTGAGTCACACTCACGCTCCAGCAGCTGGCTGGCCGTACTTCCCACCCACCTCCAAACACTCACACAGCACCCAGACCCCAGAGACAGCTCTGCTGGCCTCTGCTGCCCTGCGGTTCAGCCACTGGATCTGAAAAGAGACAGGCCTTGGAGGACCCTGAGCTGGCCCCTGCCTCTACACCCCACTGCACTTGCTTAAACCCTCCCAAAGGGGAGCCTTGCCACTTGGTAAGTCTCCCAGAACCCTGGCCATTCCTCCTCCTTCAAACTCTCTGGGTGCCAAGCTAGGCATCTGTGAGCTAAACCTACCGGCAAGCACCCACTACAGACACCTACCTAGCTCACATGCCCAGCTTCTCAGGACAGCCCCCGACAAACAGCCTGTCCAGGACCACCAGTTTCCACAGATCTCAGGGGAGTTCTCTCCCATCATGGCTCTAACCCAGAGCTCCAAACAACACAGAGCAACAAGGGCCACACCAGGACCCAGTGTCCCACCAGCCTTCTGAATAGTCTTGCTTGTCCTGGGTCTGGGACAGACACCTGACATCTCCAGACTTTTCCTGTAAAGACGAGAACATGGCAGCAGTGGTGGCTGCGGAATCCATGCCCTTTCCCGAAAATACACTCAGGGGACAGGTCCAGGGGAAAACTGACAACACGTCTACAAGCCACTGATGAATGACAGGAGAAGTTGAGGGCACTCAGGGCAGTGTTTCTAAAATGCAGACCATGACATTCTAGTGCTACAGGACCTTGCAGTCAAATCAACAAGGGAAAGTCGGGGTTAAGTACCGTGCAGCAGGTTTCTCCCCAGCAGGACTTCTCAGAGCCTTAAGTACTAATGTATCCAGTATACATACCCTACACCATACACAAAGGGGGCCTGAACGGTATACAACACTTCCTGAACTTGCTTCACCAAGTAACTCTATCTTCAGAGCATCTCTCTTGGGAACCATATTCCTAGGAACCTACTTGGGAAGCCCTGACACAAAGGGCATGTTTCCCTGCCAGTGCCCAAGAATGGGGGGGGAGGAGGGATGGGGGCTCTGACTAGAGTGCAACAAGGACTTCTTCCAGTCATCCCTTGTCCTCATTACTAAAGGGTGGGGCTTACCTAACCACTCCAAATGGTCAAAAGTGTCCCATGCAAGCTCAGAAACCTACTTAGCAGATCCAAGGAGCCCGGTGCCTGTCCTGGAAGGTGGGACCAGGCACGAACACTTTCTCATTCAAACTGCTGGCCTCACATGTTCTCGTGGGTGTGCATGGGGTCTGAGCCTCCTTTCCCTGAAAATCTGAAAGTGACCACAATAGACTTAAAAGCAGACAAGCACTCAGTGCTGAGCCTGCAGGTAAGACAGGTCCTGGCATCCATGTACCTCCGAAGCTTCTCCACCTGCAATACCCACTTGACTGTGCCACTTCTCTGCTGCCTCCCACTTCCTGCTCCCACATCCACACCTGCATTTTCCTAGCCAGAGAACCCAAGTATACTTCCCCCTGTGAGGATCTGTAAGCTCACTGGGCAAGTGCAGATATATGAGGTGTGTTGGGACACTGTCTAGCCTTTGGAGAGTATGGCCGTCACCACTGCAGACCGCTCAGGCAGGGGAATGGTTCTTGCCCCAGGTGCTGATAAGCCAAAGTCCCAGAGACTAACCAGGTATCTGGATGGCTGAGAATTCATGGCGTGTCAATGGTTGGTGCAACCCCAAGGCCCTGAAGTCTAGAACCTAAAGACAGCAGCTTGGTAATTCATAGGTTCTGAGAAAACTCTATTCCTGCTTCCTTCCCAGGCAAATCTTCTGCCCACTGTCTAATATCTAAGGATCCATTTAGAGCAGCAATCCTTGGCTTAAAACATTTTTTTTTCTGCTCAAAATTTGTTAAACTGTGCAGATGCCCATACCCTTGAGAGAGATGTCCCTTTCGGCCTTATAGATCATCTGCACCTCAGAATGAATTCATGTCTGAGGTAATAAAGACCCTGAGGTGAGACTATGGAGAGTCCCTGTCACTGTGGGCTCCATGAAAGCAAAGATGGAGCTGGGAAATCTTCAGGGAGGTAAGCAGAAGACAATAGCCAATTCTGTTGGGCCCAGGCACTCCCCTCTACAACCTTTGTCTTTAACCTCTTTCCACTTCCCTCACTGAAGAAAGCACAAAGAACAGGCACTTACATCTTGGTGCTTTTACCAACACCTGAAATTGCCTTTCTCCTGGTCATACATCAAGACCAAGCTGAAATGCCACCTTGTCAGCAAAGCTTCTCTCTGTGCCCACAGAGCTCTTTGCATTGTGTAATTTTATAATTTCTTCTCCTATGTAAATCCCCAAGCAACTATACATTGAAAGCAGACATTTCATTTCTCTCTCTACTGGCAGTGCTTAACAGAGTATGTGGTACACAGTAGGAGCTTAATCAGGTACAAATGAATGTGAGGCATTTATTGAGTCGTCATTACCAAGACAGGGTTTCGGTCACTCACTCTGGTCAGGCCATGGTTCCTGCTCACTCCCACCCCTGCAGGCTGCTCAGCAGTACCACTCTTGTCTCTTCCAGCCAGCAACACCTCAACCCAACAACAATGGCTCTGCTATGTCTCCAAAGAGAAAAGCCTGGAAACAAACAATGGCCGACAAGTCAAGCTAGCGTATCTTACAGACTGGACGAAGATGGGACCTGGAAAGGCCAAAGGAAGCTCCACGCGCCACTGCTTCAACGAACAACACCCTCACAGCAACCACCATCAGGGACAGGATGATTATCTGTCCAGGTCTCTGACTCTTTCTGCAGGGGGATTCAGTGACCCCCATTACATTCTGTGGAGAAGAATGTCTATCCCTGCAGTCCAGATTGTCTATTATGGGATCTTGAAGAAATGAACTTATGGGGCAGTGAGACCTGGGAGCCTGAGGACAGAGCCTTGCCTGCCCTGCTCATCTCGGCATCCCCGGTGTACAGCATTGTGCCTGGCACTTCATGGGCACCCAAAAGCTGTTATTTGAGTAATTAACACATTAATCATAAATTTATGAGTGATTTATAGGGAAACCAGAGCCAGAAGTATCCCTGCAAAACGCACCCCACATTCTATCTGTATACCCATTTGAACTTGCTGTACTATACACTGTGAACACACAATATCTATTTTTAAAAGAAACCAGTATGCATAGAAGATCACTTTAATTTTAAAAAGAGAGAGAGAGAAGAAGCAAAAAGTCTGTCTTCCTGGAAGGAATATGAGTCTTCTTTGGGTAGTAGGATTATTTTCACTTTTTTCTTTATGCCCTTCTCCACTGTCTGAGTGTTACAATGTGCATGTATTAATTTATGATCATAAGTCAATGAAAGCTCTATGTATCCTGAAAAAAATAATACCACCACAGAAATTCATGCTGACTTAGGGTAAAGAAGACGACGATGGTCACAGAAATCAGTAAAAGATTTCTCAGAGGATTAAATGTGTAAGAATAAAGGGATTGGACCAAATGAGGAAATGGCCATGAAAGCCTTTGAAACTCACCAGAGAAGCCTCCTCTCCTGCTCCCCTCCAGTCCTATCTGACTGCTTGCT